TGCGACGGGGATGGGACTGCTTTAGGCCCCATGTGATAAATTAGAAGAGACAGTAGCTCACCCAGAAAAGAGACATAACATGCAGCTGGAATATCATAAGAAGGAATCTAAAGATAGCAGACCTTGAAGTGGTGTCAGGCTCATGGCTAACACATGTGAAAACAGCCACCTGATTGATGGCTTTGGAGGGGTATGATCTGGAGTGGCACAACCTTGGAGAAATCTATGAAAACACCTAAGATATTGGCATAAAGTTGGAGCTTCAGCACAGACCTTAAGGTCTGAGGTGCTGTGTTCCTGGGTTGTTACACTCCACTTCTATCTCTCCAGGGCTCCCAGCACTGAATGCAGGTGTTTGCTTGGTATGATTTATGCATATTCCTTTGTATAGCTTACTGGGTGTACAATAAATCATAAGGCTCTGCAACCATAATGGGTGTTTTGTATTGCTTCCAAATCATAGAAAAGACTCTCCATGCCTTTGGCAAAACAGGTACAAAATTGATAGTTTAATAAAGAATTAACTTATAATAGTGCAACCAAGTAAATTCTTTCACATATTAGTGTATATATGGTAATGAATTAATTTTCTGGTTTTTACCATTGAATTTATCTTCAAACTGAATGTCCATGAGCCAAAATGGTGTAGAGGTTTGAGTGCTGGACTAGCTGAATGTCATAATTTTCAACCCTTGTGCTGTGGTGTCCTAAGTTCCAGTCATGTCTCTCATATGGCTGCTGCTGTCTACACAAAGAACATAAAAGCTAAAGCATCTCTGTAGCCCAACAAGCAAGGCTTCTAGCGTCCTCTCTCTCTCTTTATGCAGCTGCTCCATCTTTCATCTTTAACTTACTGTCCCACAAGAAGATGAAAACAGACGGCTGAAGTAGTGTGAACAATATGTTGTTGTTATTGTTGCTGTGTGCCTTCATGTTCTTTCCAATTTATGGTGACCCTAAGGCAAACATATCATAGGGTTTTCTTGGCAAGATTTGATCAGAGACAGTTTGCCATTGCCTTCCTCTGAGGCTGAGAGGATGTGACGTGCTCAAGGTCACTCAATGGGTTTCCATGGCCAAGCAGGAATTTGAACCCTGGTCTCCAGACTCTTACTTCAAAATTCAAGCTGCTACACTACTCTGACTCTCATGAAAATATGAGAAGGTTACAAATGAAAGACTAGGAGTTTGTCCTACCATTAGGCAGGGTGAGGTGGGCTCCTCAAGCAGAAGAATTGGGGTGCCATGAAAGGATAGCAAATTGTTCCTTCTTAAATTTAATACCATTATATTCTACTGACATAGCAGAAAACCTTCTGAGGCCTCATTCCCACTATGATTTAACTTGAATTGCTGATTGGGTTATATGTGCCTTGTTGATCCTATTGAGCTCAGTTTCAGGTGCAATGAAGCGAGGCAAATGCAAAAACCCCGCTCTTTTCTGACAGTAGTTTCCTGGTGGGTCTTTTGAAAAGAACCAATTCAGAAGTGTGTTCAACAAGTGGGAATGATGGATCTGAGTCGCATCATTCTGGAGAGGAGGGACTAATGGCAGAGGGGTGTTTACCATCCCGACTCAGTTTTTGGGAAATCAGCCATTTTCCCCCCTCTCAGCTTTGCGATGTGACATATGCCCGATTTTCCTCACTTCCCCACAACTTTCCTCAGGGCTGATGGCTTGCAAAAAGGACACAGACCCCTGATTTTCCTCCCTTCTCCACTTTCCCCAGGGCTGATGGCTTGCAAAAAGGACACAGACCCCCGATTTCCCTCCACTTTCCCCAAGGCTGATGGCTTGCAAAAAAGAGGAATGACCCTGTCATTGCCGCTTGCATCACCAGTGATGTGCAGAAGATTGACATGCATTTTGAAGGGACGCAAACTAGTGGGAATAACAAATGTGCCAAAAAAGAAGTGATTACAAGGGAATAATGAAAAGATCTGCTTTCATAGTGGGTACGAGGGACCTTTGGAACTGATTCACTGACATGAATAGAAGGCGAATTATAAAATGTAAGTGGGAATGAGGCCTGAGATTTTTCTGCTTTGTGCTTTCAAACATCTTGGCTGGCTTCAGGTACAATACCTCTTGTCTTCAGTGGCTCAGTGTATTCACTGTTGGGCAGCAAAATGTTATGGTGCAGGACTGTGGAAGAAAAAGATATTTGCATCTCCTCTCATATTCCATTCATGAGGCAGAGCAACTGGTGTGGGAGAACAAGTGTTGCCAAGTTTTCAAAATAAGCAAAAAAGGACAGCTGAAATTCATGCCATGCAGGACTGACAATCTGGAAGTACATATTAAGAAGTTTGTGTTCTACCTAAATACAAAATGAAAATATTGATTTCAGCTAACTTAGCCTTGTATTTCTCTGTAAAATGAACGTATTGTCCAAATTTATAAAATAAATAATGTGCACATTTCTGTCTTTGTAAAAGGCCCACACCCAAATATACAAGATTTTTTTTTTTGCATTTTGTTCTGGTTTGTTTTTTTTTAAAGAAAAGCTTTCCAGCCCTCAAATAGGGGTCAACCCTTATAATAAGGGACAGTTGCCAGTCTAATAAGGGACAAGCCTTCCAGTTCTAAAATAAGCGACGTTCCTTATAGTAATACAACCTTGAGGAGTATCCACAGAGGAAGCTACATAATAATGACTAATGACTAACTAACTAGTGAGTTACTTTCTGGACTGAAAAGAGTAATGACCTGTTTAACACACAGAAGAATGAATAAAGTACCTTATTCCTTTTAACAAGTAATATCCCAAGCTCTGCTGTATATTTGGCATCTTTTACCAAAACACCACCTAAAAATGTTTCCTAATGCAAAAACCATGGAGGGCTTCTTTAGAAATTCAGTGCTCCCTACCTAACAAAGGAGCTTGTAGTTTTGAATAGAACTGAGGCAACTTGGATCTCAAGAGGAGCATCTCTTTTTGTCTTGTTAATGGAACTTTCCCCCCCCTGGAGTACCCACATGGTCAGAAGGAGAAGGGGCCAGCCTTCATGAATGTTCCTCTAATAACACCTGAACTGAGAACATCAACCTCTTGACAAAATGCAGGTTTGTGACGAAAATGATCATATGTTTCTCCCCCCTCCTGTGCAATATTTAACATCTTTGCCTGGTGAAGAAGCCAGTGGAGGTTCAAAAGCTTGCAACATTTAATTTGTGCATTTTGGTGGGCCAATAAAGGTATCATTGTTTTTGTGAAGTTTGGATGTTATTGTACTTTGCTATATGGCTAACACAGCTACCTCTGGATATGATCTCTCTCCCATTGTATCAGGGTTGTATCAGGGTTCTAGTACAATCCAAGTCTAGTGCTAGGCACTGCGATTGTTGAGGCTGTTTTATCTTTTTCATCATGTGGTGGAAGTTCCCAGGCTGCAATGGACGATTCCTGTCTTAGAAAAAAAATGAGTTCAAAAGAAGATTAGGTTTCAAGGAAGCTATTAAGTCAGAACCAACATGTGAAGAGCAAATGTTTCCTCCTCCTCCTTTCCTAACACCTAAAGATGTCAGAAATGAGTAGTGACACAAGAGCAGATCTACAAAACTCTGTATCATTGCCAGCCAAGTAAACAGGTATCTAACCTAGAAATAATGTCTGCAGTTTAGCTAAAAGGACAGTTTAGGAATTGCTGGTATCCTAAGTTTTGATCGAAATTCTACAGAGTAAAATATTTGCCATGAAATATCTTCTCGGAATCAACAGAAATAAAAAAGAGGCAATAATTGCTATCATTTGACTCCTTTGAAGACTGAATCATCCTAATTGAATGGAAAAAGAGAGAGAGAGAGAACATGTCATGGCAAAGAAATAATACAAACATGTTTCAATTACAATGAAACCAAGAGGTTTCCAGACCCTGGAAAAGGTATTGAAGTATTATGTTTTTAACGTATTATAGTATTTTCTATCAAATTATTTTTATTTAGTTAGTTATGAAACTGATGGATTTTTCTAAAAAAAATTTGTTTTTTAAAAGTTCCATTTCGGATGTTGTTTTAAAAAGAAATATACTAATAATTTGTTTTCTGATGTGATTAGGTACATGTTAAAAACCTGAGATGTAATTTGTAATTTAATAAGGAAAAGCTACCTCTCATGACTGAAAATAAAGGTGATCTTAAATCTGTGAACTATTGCAACAGCATGTATGTAACTAGTATGAAAATAAGCAAACCAAAGTGTGCTTTCAACAGATAGGCCTACTAATGGCAACTGATCCACTGTGGTTAATCAATAAGCTGTAGTTGACTTATCCATCCATTAAACCAGCTAAACTATCCCTATTTATCACATACTCCTGTTCAGAATTGGGGCAAGTTACAACAACAATTTCCAGTTCGGATGGTTTCAAAATGGGATTACAGGCCAGTGTGGTGTAATGGTTTGAGCGTTGGACTACGACCCTGGGGACCAGGGTTTGAATCCCTGCTTGGTCATGAAAACTCACTGGATGACTTTGGGCAAGTCACATTAGGCCTTTGCAGACTGCCAGAAATAGTGCAAATTGAGTCCACTTTAACTGCCCTGATTCAGTGCTAGGGAATCATGGAAACTGTATTTTATTGTGGCACCAGAGCTCCCTGACAGAGAAGGCTCAATGTCTCAGAAAAAAAATACAATTCACATGATTCCCTAGCACTGAGCCAGGGCAGTCAAAGTGGACTCAATTGGCACTATTTCTAGCAATCTGCAAAGGCCCATTGTCTCCGCCTCAGAGGAAGGCAAAGGCAAACCCCCTCTGAACAAATCTTGCCAA